CCTGCCCACTTCCTGCCGTGCCTGTGTCACAGTCTGAGATTGTCTTGCATCCTTGTTGATTGGGACAAAGGCTGGGTGAGAGCGGCGTCTGCAGGACCTGGCAGTGTCTGGCATGTAGAGAATGGGTGGGGGGCACTGCTGCACCCGAGATGGGGATGCAGGAGGACATACATGTTTGAGAGAGGATGAGGCATTCCTTTTGGGATAAGTGTGCTTGGCCAGCAGGAGAGCGTATGTATTTGGACAGTCACGGGTCCTCACGCAGTGCTGTTCACCTTGTGGTCCTAATAGCAGCAGCGGGAAGCTTGTTAAAATTCAGATTCCCAGGCTCTGCCCCGGACGTATGGAACTGGTGTCTCCGGGGTGGGGCCCTGGAGTCTGTCTGGCGAGCTCTCCTCTGCTCCGTAGGCACACTGCCCTTTGTTAAAATCCTCACCCAAGGATGTTTTTCTATTCATCTTCAAATAGAGTGGGAGCGAGAGAGAAATAAACATCGAAATGAGAAGGACACATCGACCCGTTGTCTCCCGCACGACCCCAACCAGGGCCAAGGATGAACCGCAACCGACGTACGTGCCCTGAGCGGAATGGACCCTGTAACTCACTGGTCTGCGGGCTGACGCTCTAACCGCTGAGCCTACCTACCAGGGGGACACACTGACCTTTAGGGGCGGTTCCAGTTTCACTGGACCACAGGGCAGGCCCTCTCCGCCCTGCTTCCCTGGAGCCCCCAGGCTGCGTGCGCCCCCGCCAGCCCTCCGGCCGCTCCTTCCTGGTCTTGACGCTTCGCAGCTGCTCCTCGGACAAATGGGAAGTTGTGTTTTGTTTGAATAGAAAGAGGAAAGGAGAGAGAGGAGAGAGAGAGAAACATCAATCCATTGCCTCCCGTACACGCCCCAACCAGGGGTTGAACCCACAGCCTTGTTGGTGTACGGGACGACACTCCAACCAACTGACCCGCCGGCCAGAGTGACAGAGGTGGTTTTGGCAGTTCTTAGCGCCCGGAGGCTACGATACGTGCTTGATGTGTGTTACTCGGACAATGAGGGCATTAAAACAACCTTTTATTTTTAGTTTCCCCTTCTGCTGAGCTCTGCTTGCCACTTGATGCTGAGACTCAGGCAGCCGGTTAGAGCCAGAACAGGAAGGGGAGCGGGTGCTCGAGGGTGTGTGTGACCAGAATGCAGGGGTGCGTGACCTCAGATCTCAGCTCAGATGTTCAGGTGCGCGGAGACCTTCCCCACTGGCGGCCCTCAGGGACCTCTGGGGATCTGCAGCCGGTTAAGGAAGCCTTGGGAGGTAAATGTATTTGACATGGTGGTTTCCCCTGACATTGTGGCTTTGGAGCCCAGTGAAAAATCAACTCTGCTTTTTGTTCTTGTCGTGTCAGAACGCCTTTGGGACAGACTTCCCTGAGCGCAGGCCGGCCGTCTTGTTCTGTCAGACCCTGTCTCCCTGGCTGCGGCGGTTGGTGATGTTTTGGTGATGTCACTGCCACGTCCAGAGAAGACACAGATCTGGGGGCACACGGGCTTCCCGTGTTCGTGGTCCCCAGGCTGCTTTTGTCACCGGCACTGACTGATGGCTGGGGCTGACTCAGCCAGATATGGAGGGTTAGACCCTCCCCTTGGTGGAAGAGAGCAGAGGACGTTCCCAAGGGCAGCACCTTGTGTTTCATGAAGCCCTGACTTCGGAGCATCCCTGGTGGGGCAGAGAAAAAGCTGGGGCTGTCCTTCACTGCCTTTCTAGAAGGATCCATACCCCAAGACCAAAGTAGCCAGCACATCCATCGCCCCAAAGCCTAACAAGGTGTTTACCTTCTATGGGTCGAACTAGGTTAATGTCAAACATTTTAGCACAGAAAGGACTCCGAAAGTGTGACACACACACACACACACACACACACACGAGAATTTTCCAGCCCACCATTTACTCATGTATTCTCTGGACCTGGGGTAGGTGTGATGAGAGACGCAAAGGTGAATAAGGACTAGTCGCAGCCTTTGAGGAGCTGGGAGGAGAGAGGGGACGAAGATCTAAAGAGAAATTACTTGCGGACAGTATGGACGTGCCCTGGAGTATGTCCTCTGCCCGAGGAGTCACAAGAGCCACTGACCCTGCCGGCCAGAGTGGGAGAAAGCTGCTCAGGTGGCATCTTACCTGCTCTTTCGTCGGTGAAAGTGGGAGCGACCAAGGGGACTAGATCAACCACGGTAATACACATTTCTCTAGGACTGGGCATGGGCCCAGAACCTTCAGTTATGACTCATTTACTCCTCATAACAGACCTGCGATGGGTACTGCTGTCATGTCCGTTTCACAGATGAGGAAACTGAGGCTCAGTGAGACAAAGGAGCCTGTCCAAGGTCACACAGGTTACAAGTGGCAGGTTGGCTCCAGAATCCACACCGTTAACTACTGTTCAACACGGCCTCTCATAGTATGTGAACAAGATCTGCGAGGGGAATTTTGAGTGGCTTGAGTGGAGAAAAGTCTGAATATTTGTCTCCTTCTGTAGTCCCGTGAGGAAGACCAACCGGTTTAACCTATCCGTTCCCATTCGCCAGTGGAAGTGCTGAAGCCTTGGAGAACGTAATTGCTGCTCAGGGCTGTCACCATGAATACCACAGACTGGGTGGCTGAAACAGAAATTTATTTTTTCATGAAATGTGGAGGCTGGACGTCCAAGGTCAAGGTGCCAGGGGGGCTGGGGTCTTCTAAAGCTCGTTCCTTGGCTTGTAGATGGCCGTCTTCCTCAGGTGTCTTTACATGGTCTGCTTTCTGTGCATGTCTGTGTCCTAACCCCCTCTTCTTGTAAGGACACCAGTCATGCTGGATTAAGGCATAGCCCAGTGATCTGACTTAACCTTCAAGGCCCTATTTCTAAGTACAGATACATTCTGAGGTCATAGGGGTTAGGACTTCAGCGTCTGAATGTGGGGGTGGGGCACAGTTCAGCTCATAAGTGAGAGCAATAAAGTAAACACCTTCTACCGAATTTCTACCCACGATTTTATATTATTTAAAAATGCTCTGTACGTGCTTAAATAATCTTGTATACTTTCCTTGGCGGTAGTTGCAAATTGTTTATGTATAATACACTTGCAGGCAATACGTTACCAGTGAATGATGTTCAAGCACGTGGGAGAGAGGGGTCGGTTCCTGTGACAGTCTCATCAGCAGTGCAGTTAGGAATGCCTTACCTGTGAACAGCCTACTGTCTTTAATTCATGGAAAGCTACAGGTCAAGTGCTATAAATATGCTTCTCTATGTACTCCAAAAGTAAGCGAACATGTCTCTGCCAACAATAATTTATAATTAAAAAGCAAGGGCCCTGGCTGGTTTTGCTCAGTGGTTAGAGCGTGGGCCCGCAGACCAAAGGGACACGGGTTTGATTCCAGTCAAGGGCATATACCTCGGTTGCAGTCTGGTCCTGGTCAGGGTCATGTGGGAGGCAACCAATCCATGTCTCTCTGTCTCTCTCTCCCTCCCTCCTTAAAAAAAAAACAAGAATAACACTAGTGAAAACCATGGCTATCTGGACACCACCCTGATGAAGCATAACAAATGTCCTTCTGCAAGTGTGGAGTTCTAGCCATCAGGACTCGCCTGTGTGCCCCCGGCACGGTCTCCGCGGTGCTGAGCGGCTGCTGGATTTCTTAGTGGGATGGTGAATCAGAACCACTAGTGAATTGTAATTTACTATTACTAAATATTCGTGATTTTTAGTAACTCATAGGTTCATAACAAGTAGCGTTGAGTCCCACATAAAAACGAGAGTCTACGGAATTTTCTCTTTTGCTCATAAGAGCAATAGGAAGGAAACTGTAGTGAGCATGAATTTTGTGTCTGTGATCTCAGCGACACACGGCGCTCTCTCGTTTCTGTAAGTGATACGTAATTGGCTCTGAGCCAGGCATGACCTGGCTCTTAGTCATAACGAGAGCTCCCTTTCACCTAGCTCCCCCGCCTAAGGAGGTTAAATAAGATTCTGATAGAGGTGCTGTCAGGGGGCCAAGGAACTCAGTGCTTACTCTATGTCGACTGGCTGCATAGCTGTTATTCCTGTCCTTGCCGGGAAGAACTGGCCACACGCCCTGCTTCTGGCAGACATGGCTGTGCCTCTTCATAGAGGCCCATTGCTAGGAGCGCCCACCTGTCCCCTGGGACACAGCCATGATGCCCAGGGTCCAGCCTCTGCAGACATCCAGTAGCTGCCATCTGCCATCTAGGGTCCATGTGATGGAAACCCAAATCAAAAATTATTTTACCTACTTTCTTTGCCTTGCTCCTCATTTTAGGGAGTTTCAACATGCCTTTTCCTTGAGCTGTTTTCATGTCCATTCCCAAAGCAGTAACCACTCCTTCCTAACAACTGACTGAAGCACAAAACTTTTCATTGTACTGCACGATGTATTAGGACCCGGGCACAGGGGTGATGGTGCTTGATGTTAATACCATTTGGAGACCACTGCTGAGGTTGGGTGGGACTCATTAAAGAGTTTTTAAGAAGAGGCATGCCACCATGGATTACTCTTTTAAAAAGAAGATTTTTTTAGAGGGACGATGAGTTGATCTTAGGAAATTTTTATAATGCAACTGTAATTGCATCGAAAAATTTCCTTTTTGAAAAGAAATTCATACTGAAATATGGATGCATGAAATATAATCATGTTTATTTATTTTATAATGCTTGGATGAAAAATAGATGAGAAAATACGGCAAAATGTGTATAATCGTTCAATCTAAATGAGGTTACATGGGCATTCATTATACAGTTTCCTCTGTTTTCAAAATTTTTATACTAGAAATGTAGAAATAAATCCCTCTCCAGGGACTGGGCGGGAGGGAAGTAGGGAGCCAGGTTAGTGAGGAGATGAAAGCAGTAATTCGGGGGAATGCTGATAAGAGGCACAGCGAAAACAGAGGCTCTGAGGATGGAGAGGAGGCTGTGGCTGAGAGGTTTCATCCAGTGTGTTCTCTTGTCTCTTTCCCACAGTCCAAACTGCTTCGGGAAAAATGGCTGCTGCAGGGGATGCCTGCTGGGACTGCCGAAGAGGAGGAAGCCAGGAGGCAGCAGTCTGAGGAGGATGAATTCAGAGTGAAACAACTTGAAGATAACATTCAGAGGTAGGTGGTTTCCTGCCCAGCACCCCTGTGGTTTCACAGTGTAGTAACCACTACTGTCCTCTAGAGGGCCTGCTCAATGCAGTCACCCTTTATCCAGCAATTTAGAATGATCTTCCCACAGTACATTGATACTATTTAAACTTACCCAGCGTTATTACTCGGAGTAATATTGTATTACTATTGTATTGGGCTGTCATACAGTTCAGTGATGTCTCCAGGGACCAGTGAGGTGTCAGCAGCTTGTCCCTTCACTAAAGTCCCCTTTTTGGGTTTTTCTACCAGCCTTTGTCTTTTTCCTCCTTTGGCTCAGGCTGTTAGCTGTTATTGCTGCTATCTAGAGGGTCTGTTTTCAGTTTGCTACGTTTGATCACTGTGACACGGGACGATTGTAACCGGGGTCTCGGGGTTGAAATGAAGAGAGCAGGAACACTGAATGAGACACCCTGTGGGTTCTGTGTCCCAAACATTAACCTTGGATTGTCTGCTTTCCCTGCTCAGAGGGTGAGCTGCTTCCTTATGGCCCTCAGCCAGGTTCTGCACGTTTCAGTCCAGGAGATAAGTGACCTTCCCGTGGCCAGGGGCTGGGCAGGCTCCCATAGGAGCCACAACGTAGGCGTAGGTTCTGCTCAGATCAGTAGCTGTGGCAGGTCCCAGGACACCAGTGGTGGTGGAAGGTGGTGAATGTAGCTGCCCTACAACCAACACCCCCGCCCTGTCCCCCAGCTCTGCCTGAATCTCACCCCTCCCCCACCGCTTTCTCCTGAGGTTATGCGCTCTTTTAAAACACAAAGGGTAATAGCTAACTTGCTCCCGGCCATTTATACCCCAGAGTGAATGAAGACTGTGAGAGTATCTAGGGGACTCCAGGATGCCACCGAAGGGGAAAAACCTTGGGGGCCTGTGCCCTCTTTTGCTTTGGCCATAATGTCCTTTAAAGAGCTCTTGCAGCAGCTTGGCCAAACTTTGCTACATCCAGGGGTGGGCAGAAGTAGGTTTACAGCTGTTTGTATGGAAAATAATACAATAATTAATAATACAAGAATACTAAACTCTGTTTCCCATGCTCACAACTGTAAACCTACTTTTGCCCTACCCGTGTGTGTGTATAATATATATATACTATATATAATATATAATAATATATATATTATTAGAAGAGGAATATTTTAATCCTGTAAATACTGCATAAGCTTGTGAGGACAAGAACCTCCAGGACCCCAGGAAAGGGAGGGACTTCCTGTTGGAAGCCCAGAGGACATGAAGGTGAGGGGCAGGCTGTATGCTTCAGAGTCCTGAACCTGGGGCTCAGCTTGCTGCACTTAGACAAGATGGGGAGCCGAGGATTCCTGGAAATACAATAAGTTGGAGAGGAAAAGGCAGTTCTGAGAAACAGGTTTATCGGGGTTTGTTTTTAAGTCTCAAAATGACAGGTCCATGGTGCTGTCGGCTGCAGTGATGGTTGACATGATACAGGGTCTCTTTGCCTTCACCCTTGTTAAAAGTGACAGTCATTTTCATGTCCCTTACTTACGGGTTTTACATCATCACAACAGATGGGTCTGGTGCAAAGTCGGTGCTCCGTAGCTGTGTGCTGAAAGGAAGAATTGGGGCTGGGTGCGCCGTGCGTGGGGGGCCCTACCTGGCAGAGCAGGCCTGGGGGTTTTCTCTCCAGTCCAACTTGGGAAGATCCGAGGGACCAGATGGCCTGGGCGCAGTCTGTGTGGTTCAGGTTTGGGTGGGGCAGTGCCGTGCACTTAGAAGTCAAATTCAGAATTTGATCTTTGTATAATAAGAATCTGGAAACTGTCGACAGATCAGATGCAGCTGAACCGCTAACTAGGGAAATGCTAAAGGAAGCTTTGAAGCAAAGCATTAATTGATTGGTAGATCTTTTGATTTCAGTTCACCAGTCTAAGTCCCTCCCCGGGAACAAATTAGATTCTTCTAAAGAGACATATGAACTCTTTTCAAACTATGAAGTATGTTAGTACAGTTGTACCCTAATGCCGGCGGTATGGAGGGAGCAGCAGGTCATCCTGTAGATTCTGCTCTAACCTTTCCTATTAACCAGCTGATTATATAGGGATAAATAAGAAGGACTTCGTGCAAGGGAGGAAGGTAGGCAGGATAAAGGCTCCAGGGTACGTGGTTAGTGTGTCTCCTTCCAGGATCTTGAAGTCCAATAACAAGGCAGTTTATTTTCTATGATGTTAACAACAGTTCTGCCCATTCCGGGGACCAGAGTATGGTCAGCATTCCTGAGGCAAACTCCTGGAGGGGGTCCGGGTCCAGGCACAGCAACCACGTCAAAGTGTGTCCTGTCCTTGGTCTGCTCTCAAAATGTATTTTCTTTTCTGAGTAATGGACCCATCCGGGCTCCGAGGCATCTTATCTTTCCACAGCCCTGTTTGTCTTCTTGCGACACACGCTCCAGTTTCCCAGGGTCTGTAGGAAAGCTCTTATCTATAGTCAGTAAGGTGAATAAGCATCAAACAACTGCGTGCCCTTCCCCCCGTCAGAGGTATTTTGGCCCCTGTTGGCAAACCGAGGGTAACCTGGAGAACCTGAAGGGGCGAGAGAAAATAGCACTTGGGGAACAGGGAGAATGCCGACGAGGAAAGAGTCAGGGAAATTTGGGTGATTTAGTTCGGAGGAGAAAGGATAACAGCCTAACTCAGGACTTCAGGTGTACATAGGATGGAGACCAGATCTTACTGTTTTATGTCTGGGCCATTCGGACTATGATAAAGACTTAAAATAAAGCCTGAGAATTAGACATATGTGTGCTTCCCTAGATATCGTCAAGAAGAAAGTACGTGGCTGTCTTTCTAGTTCTGGTTCTAAAATTCCGTACAGTGCCAGTAGCCACACGTGGCTTTCGGTTTGCAGGCCTGTTTTCTTCTAAAATGCTCATTGTGAATTGTCAGTAGTTTGAAACTGAGAATGTTGTCTCTCTTCCCAAACAATTATATGCAGCGCTTAGATCTGGAGGTCAGCTTACAAGGAGGAGGGAAGGAGGAGAGGAAGGAAGGAAATATGTAACTAGACTATTAAATCCTGGACATTGCAATCACCTGGGAAGTTTTTTTTAAATGCAGACTCCTGGGCCTCGTTCCAGGAAATTTAGATTCAGCAACCCAGGTGAGGAGCCCTGTAATTTATGTTTTTTTAAAGAATGCTCCAAGTAATTCTTTTGCATGGTCAGGCTCAAGAACAATTGCTATAAATGGGGGAAAAAAAGAATAGATCGTAAAATAAAATCCCACTCTAATCCCTAGCCACCCTCAAGGGAAGTAAGAAGGAAATAGTGTTTATAAGAAAATTGATTTCACACAAACAGATAAAGAAGGGCAACCCTGCCCTTGATGTTAGGCTGATGCAGGGAAATTAGAGCTTTGACTCAGGGAAATTTGAAACCTGCTCTGGGACTCCTGTAGGTGGAGGTGGGAACAGTGTGTCTGCTGGGCGTGGAGCTCAGGTTCTCTGCCATAGGCCCCAGCGGAGCCCAGCTTCATTTGAACTTGAATAGAAACACCCTTGGTTTACCCAACTAAAAATTATACAGGTCAGGAAAGCTGGCTACTTTTCCAAAGGCCAGAAAATTCCACCCTTTTCCAAAGATTTCTGCCTGAAATTGAGAGCACTGTGGCCTCGAAGAGGTGACATCTAGGTGGCGGAGAAGGAAGAAGGGAACTGGTCATTACAAGGGGTAAATGGGTTGTCGCTCTTCTGCATAACTTTTCCCAGGGCAGTGTCAGGATGGTGAGGCCTGTCGATTACATTCTGGGCTCACTAGAAACCAGAAGTAAACTAGACTAAGAAAAAGTCGGAATTGTTGAAATCAAAATCTGTACACAGATTTCTTTAGAAATGATTTGCTTTTCTAAAAAGTTGCAACATCACATCTTCTGTATGCTTTATGTCCCATTGGTGATCCATATTGAGAAAGTCCAAAGGATGGTTTCTGGTTTGGGCCCATAGTCAACCACTGTCTGTGCCGTCCCGGTATGTGATGGCTCCCTGGAGGCCACATGGGCATCTCATGTTGATGCTTCTGGAGATTTTAGACCGTTGGAGACACACTAGCTCTGCCTACTATACGTCTGCTCCGGTCAACAAGTCCTGTCAGTTGCACTGGGATTTTTTGATGTCATCAGGTTTTATTCAAGTGTTTGAAATATCATGTTCTTGGCTTTCTTTGATTAGTGACAAATATGGGGAAAATGCGGTCCCTGGCTCGGATTACCCCCGGGTAGTTGAGAAATGGAATGCGCGATCACAAAGCCAGATGTTAATTCCAGTTCTGCTGAACATTTGCTCTGTGACTTTGGGCGAGTGTCTGATTCTCTGGTTTTCTCAGGGTCTTCCAGCTCTGGTATTCTGAGACCCTCTCATTTGAGAGGTTGGCTAGAAATCCCTTTTCTGAACATACCTATGCAGAGAAATGTCACTGTTGTGGAAGGAAGTGGTTTTGGAGACAGGCCAGAATTGGGGAAAGAGGTTAGGTTGTTGGGAAACAAAAGCCCTGTGTGTAACTGACTCATCACAGAGGTGACTAATTCATCTGAACAGCTGTCAGTTCTACAATATGTCACATCAAATATTCATTGCATACAATATTGAAGTCCCAGCTACAAAGCCAGAGAGGGCGGCTTTAAAAGAAAATTCAAGACGCAAGTGAACTGGTTCATCTCTTCTTCCGATTTAAGAGTCTCTGAGTGCCTCTGTTAGTCTCTGATGGATACCAGAATTCACTTAATTTTCCACATTCTTAAGTCTCAGAGCAGAAGACTGGAGAAATCAGGCATAAGCCTGTGTGTGTTATATTACGGGATTTTGGCAACCAAGAAGACAGTCACCCACAAATAACTGTTCTAGAAAAGGCAATCACAGAAGTGTTCAGTGGAATCGCAACAGACACTTGCTTGGGATTTATTGTGTTCTTCGACTTGCTATTTTTAACTCCATGATAGACTGTTCTTAGCAGGGAGTGGAGCGTC